TTGGTTAAACCGAAACCGTTGTGTTGAGGTTATCAATCTCAATTGATTTCATCAAGGAGTTAGAAAGATTAAATGCTACTATTAAATCGGTATAAGACGTTGTTCTATATTTGATTAATAGTAAGGGTTATTAATGAACGGTTGTTGTTAATAACTACCCTCGATGAAGTGGATATACTCCCCGATTGAGTATTCGAGAGGGAATAAGTTATAGATATAACAATGATCGACTAAAATATATCAACAAGCGGAAAGTAGCAATGCCAAGTCCTTTTTATCTTTGAATTAAACACATATAGGTTGTTCATCTTAGTTCTTAATTAAATTAAATCACTCAATCCAAATCCCCCCTTTTATTTACTAAGTTTCATAAAAAGAGAATTATACTTTTCCCTGTGGATACGAATTCTACTACGCTATACTACGTATAAGTGTTAGTATTGAAAATTATTTTGACGCACTGTGACAAAGTGCTCGTCACATCATCTTTGAAAAAACAAATAAGCAACATTGATCAAAAAGATGATGAATCCTTGTATGAGTATTGGGAACGGTTCAAAAAGTTGTGTGCTAGTTGCCCATACCATGGATACACGGAGCAAGACCTCATCCTCTACTTCTATGATGTTCTTGCGGATCAAGATAGACGCATGGTGAATGCCGCTTGTGGGGGCGGCATTGTCAACAAAACTCCCTCACAAGCAACAAGCTTGATCTCGGAGTTGGCAGAAAACTCTAGGCATTACAACGGGCGGTCCTCAACCCGTAAAGTTGCCGCGGCAGAATCATCTACATCTTTAGAAAGTCAAATGGCCGGCTTGACTTCTTTGGTTAAGGATTTCCTTTTGAATCCTACAAACCAAGAAGTCAAGGTCTGCGGCATATGCACACAGCAAGGGCATCCAACCGATTCTTGCCCAAATCTCCAAGAAGAACAAGTCAATGCCTTGGGTTTTCAGTCTCATCAACAAAAGAGGTACGATCCACATTCTAACACTTACAACCCCGGGTGGAGAGATCACCCAAATTTGAGGTATGGAAACCCTCAACAACCAAATTCCTCTTCCCAATAGTACAACCACACTTCCCAAGGCCAAACTTCAAGCTCAAGTATGTCCACTGAAGACATGATTCGAGCCCTTACCATAAGTGTATCAACGATACAACAAAGTGTGGCCCAATTTCAAGAAACGACTAAATCTAGCATCCAAAATTTGGAGAACCAAATGAGCCAAATTTCGAGTGTTGTGAGCCGGCTCGAGGCAAAAGATTCAGGTAGACTCCCTTCTCAAACGGAGCAAAACCCAAGACAACATGTCAATGCAATCATGTTGAGGAGCGGTAAGGAGTTACAAGCAAAGGAAGTTGAAGAATAGGTTGACAAATATGAGGTTGGCCACAACGAGGAGAAGCTAACAAAAGCTAAATTCCCACCATTGTCCTCATATGAACCACCACCTCCATTCCCTGAGGCATTGAAGGACACGAGGAAGCTGAAGAATGATCGGGACATCTACGAGACCTTCGCCGATTCTGAGGTAAACATCCCACTCTTCAAACTAATCAAAAGTGTTCCTCGTTATGCAAAGTTCTTAAAGGAACTATGCACAATGAAAAAGAAAAATAAACTGAAAGGGAAACGAAAGGTTGAGGTTAGTGAACGTGTCTCGGCCATTTTTCAAAAGAAACTTCCAAAAAAATGTAGCGATCCGGGCATGTTCACCATTCCTTGCAAAACAGGGGACACCAATTTTTCTAAGGCCTTGTTGGATTTAGGAGCATCAATAAATGTCATTCCTTATTCCTTGTATAAATCCTTACAACTCGGCCCACTACATCAAACTGGTGTAGTGATTCAACTAGCAGATCGGTCTAATACTTACCCGAAGGGTGTAATAGAAGATGTGCTAGTCGAAGTAGAAAACTTGGTTTTCCCTGTTGACTTCTATGTACTTGAAATGGGAGATGACAACCAAACAACACCCATCCTTTTGGATAGACCTTTTCTAAAAACCGCAAAAACAAAAATAGACGTGTCTAATGGTTCATTAACTTTAGAGTTTGATGATCAAAAAGTAGAATTCAACATCTTTGATTCTACGAAAAAACAAATTAAAGACTAATCCCTTTGTTCTCTAAATATTTTTGAACCACAAACACCGAATGTTTTTGTTGGAAAAAAAGCTGAGAAAATCACACTTTTTGAAAAAGAAGAACAAATTGAGATTAGGGAATTGTTCAAATTTTCAAAAAGAGAATGGATCCCACCTGGGGTTGAAGTGATAACAAGGAAGAAATTCCGGCCTTACTGGAGAAGGTCGAAAAAGAAAGATGAAACAAGGGATGTTCACGATCCCACATAAAAGAAAATAAAATAAAAATGACGTCGTGTCGCGACATTAAATCAAGTGCTTCTTGGGAGGCAACCCAATTTCTTCATATTTTTTTTTTCGTGTGTGTGTTTTATAAAAAAAAATGGCCTGGGGTTGAACCCGGCCGGGTATAAAACCCTACCCGGTCGGGTTACTTCATAAAACACAGCACCCGGCCAATCACCCGGGCGAGGCAGCTGAGGAACAAAGAATAATCAATCACCCGACCGGGTGACCTTCATATACTCGGCCGGGCAACCCAACAAAAACTCTCTGCCTCGGATGAACAGCTTACGCCCGACCGGACCAGTCACTATACCCGGCCGGGCGGTCGGGCAAAAGCCCGATAAGGGGGCGGGCGGGCAGCTTTCTTCCCCATTTTCTCTTCTCCCCCCACGACCAAAACCCCTCCAAACCTCCATTGTTGAGCTTCAAAGCTTCGAAACCCCACCATTTCCACACCAAATCCATCAATTAACACCATATTTTTCATCTCCTTTACACACTCTTCCATCCTATACACATAACTCCTTTCCAAAGTCACCACATCAATCAAACCACAAAACCCGAAATTTCGTCACCCAAAAATAAAAGAAATGACACCAAAAAGGGCAAAGAGATTCATTCTCTTGGACATCTCGGAGACAAGCACTAGGGACAGTGCTTTGATTAGCTTGGGGGGAGAATTTCACGGAAAACTCACATTCACACTCTATATTCTTGTATTATTTTCAAAAAAAAAGCTTGTTAAGTTGAAAACCTAAAAAGGCAACTTAAGAAAAAAATAAAGCAAAAATAAGAGTGAGTTGTGAGGAAATAAAACAGAAAATGTGGGAAGCTGGGATGAAAACCCGAAAGGGCACCTAGGCAAAATGAGAGAATGAGAGAAAGTACTTTCTTTTATTTCTGCAGGATCCCAAAGGTGATTAAAACAAAAACAAAAAAAAAATTGAGGTTGATGAGAAATATGGAGTTGAAGACCCCTCTCTACTTTTATATTTTTGGGATAATTTTTGTGTTGTCCTAAAAGCAATCTGAGATGTTTGTGTTGATACTCTTGTCATTTTGAGGACTCCTTGGATTGGATTTGGTTTACTCGAGACGAGTAAAGGTTCAAGTGTGGGGGTGTTTGATATGCACTAATTAGTAGTGTATAAGTGTATGTTTTTATGTTGGATTTGTGTGTATTGTTTATCGTTTTATTTAGTTTGTAAACATTTGTGTGATTTTAGTTGTAATTGTATTTTAATCTTCATTTGTAAGTTGTAAAGTAGATTTAGGATTTATGGTGTTGGAAAAGAGGACTTTGAAGAGAAGAAAACAAGAAATTTGACTGCCCAGGAGCAAAACCCGACCGGGTAGAAATCCCCACCCGGTCGGGTAAAATTTAACAACCGAAGAAGCAAGGTAATTGCCAGACCCGGTCGGGTCCCCTACTTGACCCGGTCGGGTCAGATGTGACCCGAGGCAAAACGACGTGCGAAGATCACCAGAATGTGGCAGATTATCTGATTTTGACCGGACCCGGTGGGGTAAGTACTTGACCCGATCGGGTACCTGGCCAAAGGTGTTGAAAAACACCTATAAATAGCACACTTTTTCTTCTCTAAAAATCATCCCTTCTTCCATACTCCTAAGCTCAGTTTAAAATAGCATTTCTTTATATTTTTCTAGCTATGTTTAGTCTCCAAATGAGGAGCTAAACTTCCATTTCTTGGTGTTGCTCTTGAAGCTTGTTGATTATTAAAGTTGTGAGTTATTTTTCTTAAACTTCTTCCCTTGAATATTAATTATTAGTTCTTTCCTTAATACTATCTCTATATTAATGTTGGGGAGTGTTGCTAATATGACAATTAGCTAACATCTTGACATTAATTATAGTAGTATTTTCTTCCTCTATATTAATGTTGGGGAGTGTTGCTAAGATGACAATTAGTTAACATCTTGATATTAATTATAGTAGGATTCATCTTCTTTAATAATATTCTTCCTTGAATATTAATTAATTCATATTCATATTTCATATTAATATTTTGAACATTACTTAAAGGATCAACTAGTTTTGTTTCATATATTAATTATTACTAGTAACGATTAACGAACCGATGGTTAATCGTTGATGGTTTCACAAGTAAGTAACTTCGGTTTATTAATGCACGGTCGTGGTTAATAAACTTAAGAGGGATTAATTTTGTTGGTTAAACTGAAACCGTTGTGTTGAGGTTATCAATCTCAATTGATTTCATCAAGGAGTTAGAAAGATTAAATGCTACTATTAAATCGGTATAAGGCGTTGTTCTATATTTGATTAATAGTAAGGGTTATTAATGAACGGTCATTGTTAATAACTACCCTCGATGAAGTGGATATACTCCCCGATTGAGTATTCGAGAGGGAATAAGTTATAGATATAACAATGATCGACTAAAATATATCAACAAGTGGAAAGTAGCAATGCCAAGTCGTTTTTATCTTTGAATTAAATCTCATATAAGTCGTTCATCTTAGTTTTTAATTAAATTAAACCAGTCAATCCAAATCTCCCCTTTACTTACTCCTTAAATTAAAAAGAAAAGTATTCCTTTCCCTGTGGATACGAACTCTACTACGCTATAGTACGTATTAGCGCTAATATTGTATTTATTTTGACGCACCATGACAAAGTGTTTGTCAGTGATTCTAACAATTTCCCTTGAAAATATCCAAAAACCAAACATAGATGGCTAACTGTAATATTAAGTTAGTTCAATTGTACACAGAATACATGTAATACACTCAAAGTCTCAAAGCATTACAATCAATCATCAATTATTATAAACGGCCGGAGCAACAACCTTGAAGTCCCGTGAGACATGCATCTTTTCTTTCCCATCTGTTTCCTTACTTCGTCCGAATACTATTTACCTCCTCTTGTTCCTGCTTCCCATCACCAAAGAGAGGTAAAACAAAATCCTAAAGAAGACCCCCCACGCTATGGTGACCCACAAGCAGCCCCATTTGCTTAGGCCAGTGACCCCTTGCTGAGCCAGAACGTCCGAGCCTGTGGTCACGCAAGTCGAGCCCGTGATCTCCGTCTTCAAGATGTCACCCATGCTCGCCAGGAGCCGTTCCTTTGTTAAGTCCGGAAGCACACCTAACGGTGTGTTGTCGAACATCTGCATTCCTCTCACGAAGCATTTGTTAGGATGCTCGAATTCGTTTTGGAGGACCGCTTCGTACGGGTACTTGACCAAAGAGATGTAATGGAACCAAATCCAGTAGATCGGGATCCGATCACGGTTCATGAAGAAACCGCTGAAGAGGAGGTAGTAGGCTAGCACGGCCACTACGACAATGTACCCGAGCATTACGTGAGGGACCACGCTGCTGATGAAGGTCACGAACGAATTACCGCACCAGAACGAGGCTAAGATGATGGCGTAGTAGAAGAGGAATCCCGAGGCTCCACCGCTCAACCCCACTGACCAAAATGTCAAGGCGACGAAAATGAAGGAGTAGAAAAGCAACATCGGGAGGGAGACGAGTGCGTGAGAAAGACAATAAGAAGATCTGCGGTATGAGTTGTGCGATGTTTCTCTCAAGAAGATGTATCTTTCTTGGATGAAGACCGGAATTGTGTCCGCACATGTGTAGAAAGTTAACGACATGGCAAAGGCGAAAAATCCGAGCCTTTCTTGTATTCCTTTCGGGGAATCATCTAGGCGCCAGAACATGGTGGCCAGGATGAACCCGGTTATCGTAACGGTTCCGAGTCTGGTGCCCAAAATCTCTGGCATACGCCTTAAGTTTCGGAATGCCCGTTTTGATAAAACAAATATTTCGATCCAAAGTGGATTAGCATGGGTAGGGACAGATAGAACCGGGCCACCACTGTTGTCCGTGGCGCCCGAAACTAACTTCCCGCGGGAAATGCTATTCATGATTGCCTCTTTCAATGATAAAAAAATCGCGATTTCCGGTTCAGTGTTCAGATTACTGCTCCATATGCGGTTGAACTCGACCAGGCTTTTAGTTCCCCCGGTTGAACCTTCAAGTTCGCGAATGAGGTCGAGTGCGAACTCGGACCGATTTTCGCTTTCTGGTATGGGATGCCCAAAATGCGAGAAGAACCGAGCCAAATCGGCTGGCGGGCCGTTGTAAACAGTTTCTCCACGGGAGAGGAAAATGAGCCGGTCTAGTAACCCCATTATCCGGGAACTTGGCTGGTGAACCGACATGATCACAATGCTTCCACTGTGAGCAATTCTTTGCAAAACGCTGACCACGTTGAATGCACTGGTGGAGTCTAGGCCGGAGGTTGGCTCGTCCAGGAAGAGAATAATCGGGTCGTGGATGATGTCGATTCCGATCGAGACCCGCCGCCTCTCTCCGCCGGAAACCCCCCTGTGTCCTTCATCGCCGATAACAGTTGTGGTGGCGTTTTGGAGGCCCAACTGATCGATCAACGCATGCACTCTCTGTTTCTTCTTGGAATTCGACAGAGTCCGCGGGAGGCGGAGCTCCGCCGCGAACATGAGCGTCTCCTCCACCGTGAGCATAGGGTAGAGGAGGTCGTCCTGCATGACATAAGCCGAGATGACTTTGAGTTGCCGGGAATCCAACGGCTCCCCGTTCAGCGTGACGGTTCCTTTCAAGCTCTCCTTTGAAATCCTACACGCCAGGGCGTCTATGAGAGTGGACTTCCCGGACCCCGACGCGCCGAGGACGGCCAGGATTTCTCCTTCTCGTGCCTGGCCGGAGACGTCACTCAGGAGCAACTTCTTCTGCGGGGTGGGTTTGTTCCGGCCGCAGCGGAGGAAAGGCGGGAGCATAAGGCGGCGGTGGATTTGCACGCTGTATGTGAGGTTGTTGAAAGACAGGACTAAGGGGAGAGAACTTCTTCGTTCTGAGCAAGAGCCGTTGACTTCCTGAATATTGGTCGTCGGACTACTGACTTCTCCGGCATCACCCACATACTTCAGTAGATGGCATAAAGTCGGAGACAGAGCTCCAAAGGGTGGCATCTCCATGCTATTACGAATGATCAAAATTATGGGTTAGAAAACGTGAAAATGGCATGGATATATTGCAGTTAAAAAGAAGGAATGGATGAAGTATATAGAGTTGAAAGGATGGTGAAAGGCATTGTGGGCTTTACTTTAGTTTGATAATTTGATGGCCGAAATGGGAAGAGTGACGGAGGATGTGAGTTTTAAGAGCTATATGTGTTCATCTACACGTATGGTTTTACTAGGGGTGATGAGTGTGTGTATGCATTGATCCACTTGTATAGTTTTATACGACTAGTGTAATGTTGGGTTATCATTTCATGCAATTGGCATGGTATCATTGGTATGTTTGGGCACCTAGCTAACTTAAATGACAGAATTTCTTAAATAAGACTAAAAAAGGTATAATTGCAAAAACAGGACCACAATGTTTTATTAGACAAAAATATCACTAATAAAAACTAAACTGACTAAAATACCCTTAATGAGAGAATTACGCGGGTGTAGTGTGCGCATGTTTCCCCTTCCCCTATGTTGCACAGTTTCCCCTTCCCCTGTGTTGCGCAGGTGTGCAATGTGCGCAGGTTTGGAGTCGATGACTCCACCATTGGCGCCTCTGCCACCATCCATCAGGTCTGTCACCACCGCCACCTACCCCTCAGCTAGTACGTTGCTATCATTCTCCAATAAAAATCTGTCATCCAATGAGTCTGTGCAGACCTTCATGAGGAATGTCACTTCATATGCGAGAATGACACTTAATATGCATAATGATTCAAAACTTACAATTTCGTATAGAGACATGACATTCTCAATATGACATTTTCAAATACTGTAATGACATAAAAGTGACATTTTTTTAAAGTAACCAATAATGACACAATAATGACAATTTTGTATAGAAACATGACATTCTCAATATGGCATTTTAAAGAATTGTAATGACATAAAAGTGACATTTTTTAAAAATACACAAGAATAATGACATTTTCCTATTCAAAAGTGGCATTTTCTGGAATCATTAGTCAAGACATTTTGAGATTCAAATTAATCAAAATTGGTAACAAGAAATTCAACTTCAGATATATCTTCATTTGGAACTTTCAAAATTCAAAATTTTATTTGAAATTTTATTGATAAAAAACTAAAAAAAAAAGCACAGAACAAGGAAGAAGAAGAAGAAGAGGAGGAGGAGGAGGAGGAGGAGGAAGAGTACATAGTTGTCTTGGCTATTGCAGTAGAGGTCGTGGACGGAGTGCGGCTTGGGCATCTTCACCGCAGGTCTTCATCGCAAATAGAATCGCGGCTTGGTCTGCAATCTTCATCGCAGGTCTTTTGCTGGGTTGCCCGGCCGGGTATAGGGGTCTACCCGGTCGGTTGTAAACTGTTCACCCGAGGCAGAAAGCTTTTGCTGGGTTGCCCGGCCGGGTATGGGGGTCTACCCGGTCGGGTGTTTGATTTATTCTTGTTCCGCTCTTGCCGCGCCCGGGTGGTTGGTCGGGTGTTTTGTTTTTAGAGGTAACCCGACCGGGTAGGGTTTTATACCCGGCCGGGTTCAATCCCAGGTCATTTTTTTTTTGAAATGTGTAAAAATAAAATAAAACAAGTAAACGTACCTTGCTTGGGTTGCCTCCCAAAAAGCGCCTTAGTTAACGTCGCGGCACGACACCATCATTGTGTTCAGTCGTTCAAACTGGGATCATGATAGTTTATCTTCGCCACATTTTCACTCCTAGGACTTCCATAGGAATGCTTGATTTTCTGACCCTTCACTTTGAAAATCTTTCCAGGATCAAATATCCAGATTTTCATTGATTCATGTGGTGAGAGTGAGGGAAAGAAATTATCATTTAGCATGGTCAATGGAAAGTGTTTTGATCTTGGTGGCATGAGAGGGGGTATCAAATGCTTACTTAACTCCACTGTCATTTCCTGCATATTGGTGAATGAAAAGAAATCCAAATGATATTCTCTCGGTTTATTTGCAACCGCGGAAAGTACATTTGAATTATTCTCACATTTGCTGAGGATTTTATCTTCGTCCTTCTCTACCCTTTCTGTTTCATTTAGAGCCTCAGGAAATGGTGGCATGTTCTCAGGAATGGTCGGTGATGGAGTTGAGTTTTGAAGTTTCTCCTCTTCTGGTTGAGCTCCCTCCGTAAGCTCCTCTTCTTCTTCCTCCTCGCCAATGTGGTTCACAATGTTTGGCACTTGTTTCAATTGATTCTCCAAGTTCAGTTCTTTGAGCACTGTTTCTTGCGGATATTGCGACATATCTTGTTGCATTTTTGTCACATTGATAGTGAGAGCTCGGATCATGTCTTCAGTGGACATGCTGTAATAAGAACTTGAGTATGGATTATATGTGTTGGAGAATGAATCATACCTCTCTTGGAAAACAACATCATGACTCTGTTCAAAGTATTCTTCTTGAAGCTTGAGGCAAAAACCCGTAAGATGCCTTTGTGACATGCAAATGTTGCAAGCCTCGGTATCTTGAACGTTTGAGCATAAGAGAAACTCCTTCACTAAAAATCTTAAGCTAGAAATTTGACTCTCTAGCGATGATGTGTTGGTATCCATTTACTCATATAAGCTCAGAAAATTTGACTCTCTAGCGATGATGAAATCAATTGAGATTGATAACCTCAACACAACGGTTTCGGTTTAACCAACAAAAATAATCCCTCTTAAGTTTATTGACGTGCACTCGTCGTTAGGTGCACTCAAAATAAATAATCAATACAACACTAATACGTAGTATAGTGTAGTAAGGTTCGTATCCACAGGGAAAGGAATACTTTTCTTTTATAAAAGTAGTAACAAAGGGGGGTTTAGATTTGTTTGTTTTAACAACACTAAGATAAACAACCTATATAAGTTTAATTCAATGAGATGAGTACCTGGTTTTGCTTTTATCCACTTAATGAAATGTTCGTCGATCCCAGTTATATCTTTAACTATCTTCCTCTCGAATACTCAATCGAGGAGTATATCCAGTTCATCGAGAGTAGTTATTAATAACGAGATGCGTTCATTAATAAAACTTACTATCGAGTCAATATAGAACAAGCGCCGTATATTAACTTGATAGTAGCAATAAACTTAAGATGAAAACGATTGAGATTGATGACCTCAACACAAGCGGTTTATTGGTTCAATCAATATAATTAATTCCCCTTGGCATATTAACCATGAGAAGCATGCATTAATATTCCAAGTTTACTACCGTTGAAAGAACCGGATTAATAACAAGCGTATTAACCGATCGTTTCTAGTAATAATTAATATGAGAAACAATACTAGGTGATACTTTAAGTAATGTTTAAGATATTAACATGAAATATGAATAGGAATTAATTAATACTCAAGGAAGAATATTAAAGAATATGAATCCTATTATGATTAATATCAAGATGTTAACTAATTGTCATCTTAGTAACACTCCCCAATATTAACATAGAGGAAGAAATAGCTATTACTATAACCAATGTCAAGATGTTAACTAATTGTCATCTTAGTAACACTCCCCAACTTTGATATAGAGATAGTATTTTGTAAGAAAAGATTAATATTCAGGGAAGAAGATTAAAGAAAATAACTCACAACTTACAAATTCATTAAGCTTCAAAGTAGCAAAACCAAGATGGAAGAGTTTAGCTCCTCATTTGGAGACTAAACATGATGAAAAATATAAAGAAAGAGCTATTCTATACTGAGCTTAGATGTATAAAGGAATTGGATCTCTTTTTGTGAAGGAAAGGAGGTGTATTTATAGGTTTTTTGGATGGGATTCGGGTACTCGATCGGGTATATACATGGTACCCGATCGAGTACGTGTGTAACACTCGATCCGAGGCATACTCGACCGGTTTCAGGCTATTTTCTAAGAGTATACCCGGTCGAGTATATATGAATACCCGGTCGAGTATGCTTAGAAAATGGTATTCGGACCATACTCGACCGATCTTCGTTTGAAATTCAAAGGCATACCCGATCGGGTATGTCGGTCTACCCGATCGGGTATAGACATAAAATCGTGGCCGAAATCTTCCCTGCATGTTCCCTTGTCTTCGGATCTGATCCGATTTGAAGTTCCAACCTAATACCCGATCGAGTATAGCTAATACTCGACCGAGTATAGACCAAAATTCAGGATCTTCTTTTGTCTTTGAACTTTTGCACCTTCTTTCCAATTTTTGGGTTCACCAACTGTACTTCGAGTGATCAATACCTGCTTGAGCTCAGAATATATCTAATCTAACCTATTTACAAGAATTTAACAATCTAATCTATTACACCAAAAGTGTGTAATTTCCAAAGTAAAAGTCAAGCAAAACTAATTAAAAACATAAACATAAATATGGAAATTACGAACGTATCAACTCCCCCACACTTTAACCTTTATTTGTCTCGAGTAAGATCAAATGTTTACAAGTGTCAATGTTTGTCCAAAAGTTCCACAGTTCAACAAAAACACAATACAAACACAAAGACCACCAAGGATGACAAAGAAAAATGAGTTTTAAACTCAAATTACAAAAGAGCATCTTGGGTTTAATGGCCTCCTAGTGTTATCTTCTTTTCTCATCCTCTCTTTTTCTTTATCTTGAATCTTCTTATTCTTCACAAGGATACAATGAGTGCCTACAAGAACAAATATTTCTCTCATATCTCTCATTTTGCCTAGGAGCCTTTTCAGGTTTTCATCCTAGCACCTCTTTTCATTTTCCATTCTCTCCAACTCACTCATTTTTTTATAAGCCCTTTTTGCTTAGATTTCCCATTTTGTTTGGTTTTCAACCTAACATGCATAGTGCTAGGTAGAAATGAAAATTACATACCATCATGAGTGTCTCCCCCGCACTTGAATCAAGCACTGTCCCTAGTGCCCGCCTTCTCCTCCGTAGTAGCTCCCTCCAAATCCGCTCCCTTGGCCACCATCTCCCATGTAGGTGTCCCCGCCATTTCCGCCGTCGTACCCTCCACCCCCGGAGCCAGATCCTCCAAAGTTACCCCAATGAGTGGGGTCATACCATGAGGGTGGTGGAGGGGGGTTCGCCATGGTATGGAAGGATCCCTGTTGTGCCATATAAGAGTACATAGGTCCGTAGAACCTATGTTGGTCTTCCTCATACCGATGTCTATCAGCCTCCCTGAGCTCCTCCAATCGTTGAAAGCCGGCTCTTTGCTCATCCTCTAATCGGTTGAGCCGGTTGTCCATTTGGGCTATTCCCGTAAGCAGTT